TTAAAATGGCTCCAAAATGTTTACTAAAAGTCATTTTTTGATCAATCATGATTCAATTTAATGTCATTTTGATGTTATCGTGAGTTGTTCTATTTTAATTGCGAAAAACTTTTGTATATGAATAATGATCGGATATTGTGTGGAAACTGCAAGTGTAAGTGACTTTCTATCTTTCTAATAGTATATGTATATGCTTATACATATGTATAATATGATTAATTAATCAGAATAGTTGGCGATATAATTACCACTTTCAAGAAATAATTTAAGTTTATTTCAATAACATTGTAATTAGTAAATATAGATTACAAGTCTCGTAATAAATTTGAAGTACTTCAGAAAAGATATTTAAATATATGTTTAATTGATACTTAAATAATATTTAAATTTATTATGGTGACATATAATACATTTAAATATTGTTTAAATATCAATTAAACATATATTTAAATATCATTTTTGAAGTACTTAAAATTTCTTAAGAGTTTTGTGATCTGTTTACAGATTATAAAACTTATTAAAATATACTTAAAGTATTTCTCAAAAATAGTAATCATAACGCCAATTATTTTGATTAATTAATCATATCATATGTGTAAGCACATATACGTAATCACTATTAAAAATCACACCTGCAGTTTCCACACAATTATCATTATTCATATACAAAAGTTTTTCGAAATTAAAGCATTCATATACAAAAGTTTCTCGTAATTATAATATATAAAATAGAATCAAGAGTCACAATAACATCAAAATGAAGTTAAACTGAATCGTGATTAATTAAAAAAATGATGTGACCGATTTATATTGTGACCATTTATAATGTGACCGAAAATTTTCGATAATTTATGTAATAATGTTTTGTTGTTTTACATTGAAAATGACCCGATCGGTGTCGAAACGTTTGTATGTACGAATTTTAAATTATTAAATATTTTACATTATAATTGGCTCGTAGCCCTTCTTTTATTTATTGATTTATTCTGATTGAGCCATATTAAGAATTATTTTTAAAAAATGACTTTTAGTAAAGATTTTGGAGCCATTTTAACATCATGATAATTTTTTGTTCTGTTTCAATGTTTTTCAATTTATTGAATATGATTTTAGAAACATTTCTGTGTTCAAACATTTCATATAACATATTGCAAAATCCTTTCAAAATTGTTGCACATGAGACGTGAAAGGTTGAAACATTTCTGAAAATTTTCTGCAATGATCAGTGCTGTGTGGATAATATACAGGGTGTCTCTTAAGTAAGATCCGGGCCGCATTGGGGGCGTAGAATGGGTTAAGGGGAACAAAAAAAGTCTTATATACAGTGAGAAAAATGGTTTGATTATATCAACAAGATGTATATGGTTAAATGCATTTTGGTTAAATCTAGCAGAATTTCTGGTTATTATAATAGGACTCGAAATTTTATGACTAGACCGTTTGGTAGATTATACTATAAGGATCTGTTTAATATTTTTCAATTGGATCTACAAAACTTCTAGTTATATTCACTAGACGTGCGCAACGTTACCAGAATTCTTGTTAACGCTAGCGCATCTTGGTAGTTGCATCATTGTGCAAGTTCGCGCAAGTCGCGCGAATCGAGCGGATACGTAAACAAGTAAAAAAAGTGTAAGTTGGATGAACAATTTTAACATTTATACGAACGTTATTGAAGTAGCATGGCTGACGAAAAAACGTCTTCTCTTCTTCGCCAATGGAATTTTGAAAAATATATAGAAGTTTTTAAAGGTTAGTAATACATTAATTTATATTTCTGTAACGATATTGCTTTGTACATAGATAATGGACGCATTTCGTTTTACGCATAATATTCATGTTGCATTTAGGCCGCCATTTCATTTGTGCGTTTTTGTCGTACGACAAATAGGTCTGTTCGCGTTGCATGAAATTCCCAAATATTTTTGCACCTGAAAAATGAGATAAGTTATATATTTGGCCTTGAAAAGAGAGAAAACAAAGGTGCCGAGTACCAAAAGTGCAAGCAACGCCAACAGACCTAGGCTACGTCCGTTTCACGCATGTTGATCTGTGCAATCTAAGACCATAAAAATATTTACAAAATATTTAAAATAAATCTTATAAATATTTATAAATATTTTGTAAATATTATATAAATATTGTGTGTTGGGTTTATATATATACACACACACACATACACACACGCACACATGCCTATGAAACATCAGAATAATAATAAATCAGAAATTAATTAGTATTATCCCCTATAGCACAAAAGTTGCAGCACAATGCTGCAAAAAGTAACATTGCATGTTGCAGCAGAGGTTTTGCAGCGATATTGCTGAAAATTCTGTGCTGTATAGGATATTATTATTAATAAATCATTTAAATTTTAATTTCATGCGTACGTCTGTAAGGTTGTCGCGGTCTTTGTAATAATACTTTGTCGGTGAATAAACAAAATAATAGAAGTAAACGAATTCTATTATTTATTTAATTGTTATAAAATATGTTAAATTATTGTAATTCTGACTATAATATATAACGTTAATATAATTCTCCCTACCGGATCGATTTTCAATAAGGTTTTGTTTAGGCCACGTGTGTTGCATGCGCTCCGAATTGTCGAGATCGACTAATATTAATTTTGTTTATAACATATATACATTTTATAATATAATTTATAAAATTGTAATTTAATATCAAGAAAAAAATGTAACGATGTTTCCATGATATAATAATTCCGTTATTTGTAATATTTAAATAAATTCATAATATTTAATAATATTTATAATATTTAAATAAAGCGCATCAATACGATTATACGAAATAATTTATAATTATATTTATATAATAGTAAGAAAGCATCAAATGTGACCTAAAAGGATCAGCATATACGCGCTACGTGGCAAGAAATTATAAAATACATCTGTGAACATGAGATTGTTTTATCTTACTTGAATACAATTAGGGAGTAATATCTTTGCTATGTCACTTAATTAAAGCTAATGTCACAAAGTGATTAACACCAATAATATTCGAATTTAATAATAATTATAAAATAATAACTTAAATTTCTTAACAAAGAATATTTATTTAAAAAATAAAAATAAATATAACTTAATTATAACAATTTAAACTCAATCACTAGTTTAGGAAATTGAGAAAAAATATACTAATGTGGTCATGTTTTCCGATGCTACAAAGCGAACTTTTACTGTTTAATACTTCAGATAAAGATTATGACTGTTCACTTGATTATTTCTCCGGCGAGCAGGGTATCGAATATCTGTTTAGCTGGGTTGAAAGCGCTTAAAAAAGTTAACAATAACAGGACGCCATATAAACTTTTAAGGCTCCCACTCTCGGCTCTACTCCAAGAGTTTAAAAGAGGCAAAACGACGAATCAATCGACACCTTGCTCTTAGCAAAAATGTAAATTGATTAGCTGTGATGTCACTTAACCAGGGTACCTATCATGAAACATGTCGGAATGAATTCCGATTGGAATTATTCCGTTTTTCCTAGAAAACACAATAGAAATCTAGAGAATAGTTGAATAATTCCGATCGGAATCCATTCCGACTTTTTCCATGATAGGTGCTCAGAAGTTTTTCGTTTATTTAATTACAGCAGCCGCTCATAACGATCGATGTTTAAAGTTTCTTTGTTCAAACGTTGGCGCTTCCTATGAACAGAAATTGGTGGAACGGAGAGACCACAATCGTAGAAAAGAAAGCAGAATAACTGCAGAATTGTGATTGGTCCGTGATTATTCGGCTTTATTAGAAGTTTATTTCCACGTGATTCGTGAGAGTCACCTCAGTCTATGATGTAAACTACCTCAACGGGGTCGCACTTGTTTCTTCTTACTCGCCTAGGCAAGACGAGTTAATAGTGCGCATGAAATAAAATCGTGAATTGCTTCTTTACTTTCTTCAAACCATCTACACGGTTTCGTGGTGCATTTGAATATTGTTTTATACATAATATAATTTAACGTTGTTATTATTGGAGCGTGTAGATTATATATATTATTATGGCTAGTCAGTCAACAAAGGACGAAGGCAAGGTGATAACCAGAGATGAACCAGGCTATCAAAAATGGTAAAATTTCACCTTTTCTTTTTGCCGGCCTTTTCTCTATTCCCTGATGAAAATAAAAATCGGAGCGTATAAAGTCGCAGGATTTTTATCTTATTTTTAAGAATACACGTTTCTGTCGGACAAATTGAAAGTATATAGTGGTGACCGCGCGTTAAATTCGGGAATAGGAATGCCCATATTCGGAACTTTGTCAATAAGAATTAAAGTCGTTGTCGTAATCATAATTGTAATAAATGCCTTTAATTTTGTCGACGCAAGTATCGTTCTACTTTTCTTTGCATTCTATAGAAAAACGTAAAAAAAACGGAACGATACTTGTGTCGCTCTAAATGGAAGGCATCCGCTCGGCAAATAATCCTACAATTCTAAAATCGCCACGTGTTAAATGATCGTCAGTTTGTTAACTGGATGGAATTTTAACGAAACTTTTAATTCTTCTTCGATTCGATTAAAAAAAAAATGACGATTCGGTTATAGCATGAGCGATTCAATTTTTTCGAAAATTCCTTTCGTACACGTATATAAGTCGATCGGTATTTTCCTACTTCTTTTAAGCACTCGGTTTTGTTTTTTTTTTTCCGAAGATAATATTGACTGCTTTTCATCACAGTCGACGCAAACAATGTTCTTGACATTCAATAATAATAACAACTAAAGATAGAACGATACTTGTGTTGGCTGAGAGAGAGAGAGAGAAAACAAAAGCAGCATGTTATAACAATCCGCATAGTCGTTTATTATGCTTGTTTCTATATAAGCTTTAATTTCGGTTTAACTTAATATCGTCATCTTTTTCTAAATTTTTCTATTTAAAATATAGAACTAGGCATTTATAATCGATTTTTATTTTAAGCCAGCTTAATGACTTCTGCACGCTGAACGCGATGAGCGACGAGCGATATCCAATGAAATCTCTGTTTTTTTCACACCTGACGCTCTCATTAAGCAGAGCTCTTATTAGATATCGCTCATCGCGCTCGTCGCTCATCGTTTATCACGGCGCGTGGCGTGTTCAGATTCCTATCCTGGGTGTCATGTCATCCTTGTTTAACATTCGGTAAACGACAAGAATAGAGTGATTCCTGAGGCGGCACTGAAGGCGGGAATCTGAATATAGCCCAGTGTACAAGACCCGGGAAAAATATTTTATATATAATTATATAAAATTATATAAAA